GACAGTGTTTCAGAAGAGACTGGATGGCCCGGTTGATTTCCACCGTAGCTTGACCGATAGCAAGAATAGGTTTGGTAACCTGAACGGAGAACTTTGGCTGGGACTGGACAGGATTCACCGTCTGACAACAATGAAAAACAAGCTCCGGGAGGATCTTACAGCCTTCAAGTGAAACACTGCGTATGTACTTTACGACGTACTTTCCAGTGAGAGGACTAAGTACAAGCTCAGCCTTGGAAAATATTCAGGTAATTACAGTGGACAAAATAGAAAAAAATAATAAAATCACATTCAAAAATATGATTACCTTTATTTCTTGCCGATATGAAAGTTATCTGAGATTAAAGTATCTAGCGACCGGTTTGAATGACATTTTAAAGCAAGCATTGATTAGGCCATTACCTTACGCCTCTTTTCCAAAACGAGGCCTGGTGCTCAACCACTCATATGAAATTACATTAATTTGCATGTGAATGAAAACTTATCATATGAAAGGATGAATAATAAAAAATGAGGCCAACTGTAATTCGAAATGGCCAATTGAATCTCCATATCAAGTCTAATCTATAAACAAACGTAAGAGCTGTAACCAGTAGTGCGGTATTTTCTGGACTCAATTAGTTCGCGCTGAAAAAAAAGGATCGAAAAAATAAACAATTCAAGATCATAAAAACAAAGCAATTCTTGTCTTGAATTAAAAGGTTTTTTGATTTTGAAGCCTATTAGCACCCGTATTGTTCAACTCATGCCGAGTTGAAGTATCTAATTTCATCACACGCCTTTTGGGTAAAACAAAATTAATATGAAACCTAGTTGCATCCTTGAACGAAACACAGAATAGCTGTGTCCACTGACATAACACAGAATTCTAGATTCACCCTAGAAACAACAACAACAAACAACAACCTATCTCATTTACCCCACAACATATCAATACAACAACAGATATAAATTTTGATCGATAGGGACCGGTACCCAAATTAAATTAACCACAAGCTTAATGAAACTGAGTTCCGCGAGGTTATTGGGCTAAAAGAATTGATAATACTAGTGAAAAAGTCCTGTCTAAGACCCTTTCAAAGATCCAAACCAATTTGAAGGTGATGAGAAAAGGCCCCATGGTGTAATGGTTAGCACTCTGGACTTTGAATCCAGCAATCCGAGTTCAAATCTCGGTGGGACCTTGTACGCTTTTCGTTTTCATTTTTATTTTCATTACCCTAAAACATATGGTATCTCTCAAAAAGTACGGTGGGGAATTTTGTATTTAGTTGTCTCTTCCGTCAAAAAATACGTTTCTTCGCTGTTAGAGATGGGGTTTTGGTATTTCATGAAAATAGGCAATGCCCTCGTTATACCCCAAGATAATATTCAACAGGCATTTCAAACAAATAGGTCTTATTTATAATTGAAAATTCACCAAATATTGGAAGCAAATGGGGATTTTGGAGCCTATTAACACTCGTACTATTCAATTCATGCCGAGTTGAAGTTTTCAATTTCATCAAACTCCTTTTGGGTTAGACAAAATTAATATGAAACCTAGTTGCATCCTTGAATGAAATCTCAACTGTATCAGATTAATACCAGAGGTAGCTGTACAGTCTTAGTCTAAGATTTTAAAATTTGACATTGTTTGGCTGAATCTTTATATAAACAAAATGGTTGCTAAGTAGTGGTTATAGGAAAACAGGACTTTTTGCGAAAGTGGCTTTTTTGCAAGATGTTCCCACTGCGTTAGCAGCTAACATTTTTGCAACAAAATGTCGAACCCTTTAGTGTAGAACACGTGGCCACTAGAATATTTGAAAAAAGGGGAAACGGAGTTCGCAAGTAAGCACAGCCGTCTCCTCGATCGTTAAAAAGTATGCACAAAACTCTAATGCTCCGTCCTTGTATTATCGGCGTTGAGGAATGACGAACGAGAAACTTCGAAAAAAACTTTACGTCTCGAATGACGTTTTTTTCAAATTTGTTTATTTGTTTGTTTTTTTTTTTTTTCTTTAACACTTTTTACTGATTACTATTATTTAAAAAGGCGATATTTAATTCCATTACAAGAAAGTTCAAGAAAAACACCCACGGCAAACGACCAATTTTTTGGGAGGCTACTTTCCACTGTTTTACTCCCTTGTGTAAAAAGTATTCATCGAAAGTAAAAGGAGACTTTTTTTCAGCAGCGTTGATAGAACGACTACACGAAAAATTAGTAATTTCATAAAACTCTTGCTCAGGCTGACTTTTAACAATACTTCCCTTCAACAAATATTTTATTTAAAACTAAAACACCTGTCGATCCAATGAATATTTTAATCCTGCCACCCGAGGCGAAATAAATTGCCCAGCCAATATGTGTTTTAAGATAAACTTGTAGTTGATCTAGAGTTAACTTGCCTCTTCCAAGTTTTAGAGAGGTATGATTACACTTCATTTCTACTTTTTATTCTCCTCAATTAATATGTCAAGTTTTAAAGAATCTTTATGTCATAAACCACAGATAAGAGGTACGTTTGTAATTATGCTGCAGGTAGGATTACGAAACCTCGTTTTAATTTCCTATAATACTTGTCTGTCTCCGCAGCACGAACATTGTAAAGGCAAACCCCTTGAGTAATAAATATAATTTTTTTTCGACTAACTTTCGTTAACATTTTTTCGTTGTTGTTTTTTTTGGTGGTAACAAAAGCCTTTGAAAGAAATTTCCATTCTTTTTATTATAATTATTCCTAAACGACTACTCAAAGTTTTCTTTTTTCTCCCGCCTACTAACTTTCTAGTGTTTATTCCCTATAAAAACAACATTGCCTTCGATAACCAACCATTATTCTGTTGCACTGCGTGGGATTCGACTTACAAACGATTTGCAGATGCTACAGTTTGGCGCCATAAAGATTTTGCATTGATAATTTCCATCATTTGGGAGAATCGTCATCTGTTCAATTATAAATATCAAATCTCTAATCAACTTTCAAAATAAAAACCTGTCTTGCGTCGTATCGATGTCATTTGTCTTCAGTTTTTCTCATGAAACCAATTTCTTGCTTAGAGAAAAAACTATATGATATGAACACGACAAGCAAGCAAAATTCTACTTTGGATGACGACTGTTCTGGTGCACTAAAAAATGCTGAAATCGTAATTTTGTCAGCGATGAACAGTGTGTTGGCGCTTATCTCCGTTGTTGGAAATGCACTCATTTTGGCAGCCCTTTACAGAGTTCAAAGCCAGAGGACCCCTTCAAATGCGTTCGTTGCTTCTATGGGAGTCGCAGACTTCTCCGTAGGTCTGTTTATGAACCCGCTCTGGGTTGCAAAGAGTGTCTTGAACATCTGGAAAAGTGACAACCATCTTTCGACAGCCATTGAAGTTTTGACGATGCAGACAATTGTAGCCACTACCTTCAGCTTATGCGCAGTGAGCGTGGATCGCTATATAGCAGTGACTAAAATGCGTTATATCGAGATTATGAGTTGGAAACGCATCCGAATCATAATCCTTCTCATCTGGACCTTTTCCATACTGTTTGCGTGTTTCCGTCTCCTTATTACAGATCCCCTTCAGCTACCAAAGCTGTGGCTGGCCGCTACAGTAATCACTGTCGTAGCGCCTTTAACACTCATCTCCATCTGTTATTATCATATCTTTAAAGCAGCTCGCTTTCAAATTAGAAAAATTTCAGCCTCTGAAGAAACTAGGATTAGTGTCGATCAAGCTCTCATGCAGCTTAAGCACCGTAAGGCAGCTTTAACAATAGGAATTGTTGTTGGCGTTTTCACAATTTGTTGGACCCCAAGTTTGGTGATCTCTCTCGTTCAGTTCTTTACTGTTAATAATTGCCAGAAGCTTATGATAAATGGCTACTGGTTTTGGGGAGCGCTGGCAGAGTTTAGCAACTCGGCTCTTAATCCTTTCATATATTGCATGAGAAGCAGAGACTTCAGGAAGGCTGTAAAGAAGGTGATTGGTGATTGTGTCTACTAACTGTAATTTTCACCGATAATGAGCTTTGAAATAACTAGACAAGTACGCAGTTTCGATGCGAAGGCTGCTGAGTAAAGGATAATTTGCATTAAGAATTTGTCACTTAGAGGTTTAAAATCGAAGTTTTTACGACTTTTCCGCTTAGGCCGGTAAGTATCAAAACCTCCTTTGATACCATCAATATTGACGAACGATATTCGCGCGAAAAGCCTCACTAAGATCAATTTTATTAGTTAAAATTTCAGGTGAAAAACTTTTATAGCCAAAATATGTTTTACATCAAGTATAATTGAACGAAACAACAAATACGTTAGCATAATTATAAAGACTATCTGAAACTCCAAACAATGTTCCCAATATATAAATTTTAAAAGATAGCTTGGTTTTTTATGTCAATATGATGAATTATTCACTCAGCACTTTGTGTAAAAAGTGTATCTCCCTTCAAATACGCCCCACATCTAAGCCAAGATCTTTTTTATCTATAATTTATTGCAAAATGTAACTGTCAAAAGAACAAAGAAAAAAGACTGGCAAACATTATTCCGCTTAGAAGAAGATAAATTGTCTCTTAGTCTTTGTGACAAGTTAATATAACTGATTATCTTATGAATGCAAAAAGCGCACGTCGTTTGCCCTCTGGCTAATGTGTAACAAAAAGTCGTCAAGAAATAATTGCGTCAAGATGTCAGGTGTTCACTACGGGAGAAATGTCGGCAACGTCTATCTAGATAGTCTAAATCGCTCGGATCTAGCTTTGGATATATACCTCTGTGACACCTTGAGATGATCAACGTGAAGCTTCTCTTGTAAAAACGTAACAACTGTTTTAAAAGATATCGCATTGAATCTGAAGGGCAGAGTTAGTATTCAGCTCTTTAGAGACGAAGGACTAAAAAAAATAGAGCTCATCGAGCTAAATATACGGATGACCCAGCTATGCTACCCAATCACAACCTATGAGAAATAACAGCTCGTTGAATTTTTTCGCAAGTCACTTGCAAAATCATATCACCACAAAATTCGTAACGGTTGGGAGATTTCTGATAAAACTCTAATCAGTCCATCAGTCCAGTAGTTAAAGCGTCATCTCTATACTTGGGACGAGAGTGGTTCCTCTAAAGCCCATTTTGTCTCATCAGGCTTACAGCTTTGTAGAAATGAAGAAGGGCTTTAAGAATATTCACTCGAGCCTAAATTCAAAGTCAGCTGAGTTTTATCATTGTGTTGGATTGTTAGGATGACCTAGCTCGAACACCATGGGCAAACGGGAGGCACCAGGAGTCTAATAGAGAACTTATATTCGGGGCAACTGCCAATATTTTTCTTAGTGACTCTTTCAGCCCTAAGTACCCGCTTTAATATCCTATCGGCAGGTGTGTGGGGGCTTACGGGACAAATTAAACATATTTTTAGAACACTAAGCCAAAAATTTCACAAGACTTTCGAAATGAACAACAGAGTAATTAAAAACACTTCGCTCTGACGAAGGGCTAACTCTCGAAACGTCAGCTTTACAGAGGCCAATGTACGTTATCAACTCAGTTGATAATACTAAATTACTTAGATTATAACCCTGACTCTAACCCCAACCCCCGCTCTACACTGGACGCCTTAAGGGAAAAGCAAGAGGGGCTGCCCCGAGAACACCTGGCGGCGGACAGTAGAGAAAGAAGAGAAGGAGATGGGGAAGACCTGGACTGAGAGGCATCAAGCTCATGGCAAAGGACCGATAGATGCGGAGAGAGCACGTTGCTGCTCTACATGCCACTTAGGCGCAAAGGGTATGAGTGAGTGAGTGATCCTAATTAAAAAACTACCGATCTTTGAGAACTAAAACCCAAACAAGACTTCCCTCGAGGACTCTAAGCAAGGTCAGTAGTCAAACCATAACACGACCAGCGGTGGCGATAATTGTCCGAGAATAAAGCCCTATAACAACGGTCAAGGACAAATCACTCAAAAGCAAAACTATACGTGTGGTCTTGCATGACATGACAAAACAAGGATCATAAGACTCGCACAAGGACCTTAAGATAATCTTACATGCCTAAACAATTCTGAACCAAAGCCCTCAGCCAGAACACTTCTTATTTCAGTGGTTCATAACAATTGTTTAAATTGAATAGCTATTCAGAAGTGCATGATCGTAAAAGACCATTAAACTCCATTTGGAACAGCCTCTGCACAAAAGTGGTAAAGATAAGGGTAATCCTCCTTGAAAGGTTTTTAAATGGTAGTGATATTTTTCGTTTAGTCTCTAACGATTATCACGGAAGGGCTTGAAATGCTTAAAAGTAACTCTACAGTCAAGTTTGTATTATATTAGATATCAACCGGAACCTCGTAAATGTCCGCTTAAGGCACGTTCTGTTATATTATAAAATGAGAAGAGGCCGCTTTTCGGTCTGACATTATCGCCTACTACTTCGACTCAAGTGCATATTTTTAGCTTCCTTTTTTTTCTATAAATGCTCTTTTATAGCGGGTTGCTAAGACAGGCTAGGCATACCGTGTAAAACCCGCAAAGTCATTCCTCGAGAGGCCTGTACTTCACTCTGTGGCTCTATGATACTTTCACTATTGCTGTGTAGTTTGAGATGGCTGCGTATAAAACAAACCGGGACTACACAGACGAGCTGAAATAGCGAGCAGCTCGTCGGTTACAGGCACTGCTTAGAAGATCGGAGGAAATATTACCCTTGTCTACAAGTGTTTAAATGCCCGCAAAGTCTTGCGCCCGCTTTTCTATCTATCTCATCGAATCATTTACCTAGTGGAATAAGCAACGAAACAACTACATTCTTCGAGAAAGTACTTAAAATTTGTTTTTGATTAATTTAGTATAGGTAAGAAATGTAACGCCACGCAGTTCGGCACAGGAACTTTTATCAGCTCTATATGTAATGTAATTTGTGTTGTGAGCTCGCTTAATTTCATATTTTCAATATTTATATAGATGTTATATCCATATAATTATATATGTACTTACATAGATCTGTTGATTTTATAATGATTATACAGACCCCCCTTAAAATTTAGCTTTAAGCTGAACTGAGCCATTAATAGCTATTAATAGCTGAATAAAAGGGTTTCGTTGCAGTAGGATGGTTGCAGGTAAATAACGTATCATTGTTTGTGGTTTACCCTGCCTAGGTAATACATCTTGCTCTTTTAATAAACTTTGTATCAATTTAATAATAACATGAGCTAAGCACAATTTTAAAACTTTCAAATCTTCATAAGGTTATAGTTCTATCTTCACTCGATTTTCGTTTTGGAGACAAAATGGCGTCTACCAAAAAGAGGATGTAGGCTGAATACAGGTTAGTCTTTGAGAAATATATAAAATGCGGCCATTCTCGTCGTGAAGGCCACTAGTTTTCATGTATCGTTTCAGTCAAGAAACGAAATCGTTGGGATCGAGAATGTAGCGATGCAAAATAGGGAACTTGGGCGATTGACGTCAGCTCAACGAGTTTCCACGGTTCTTGTGAAAATCGCGTTTCAAGTCTTTGATCCTTGTGGATTCAGCTGGGACAATAGACCTCATCCTCTCTCGGCTAAAATCATCTTTATTGTCTAAAATTTCAATTTTGGCAAAACTTTTGGCTTGTGGTAAGGTTATGCTATGTCCCTTGTTATTTTCAGTGCCCCATTATTTTTACCATTCCTGGTAAGAATTCATTATCACCAGTTTGATCTCGTTCAGCCTCTGGAACACAGCATATGATAGTCCACAACCGAGCGCTTGAACAATTCTTCGTTCCACAGTCCATCAGGCTTGTCATTATATCACTGCTAGAATCTTTCACGTCATCCACGGTCAGTGTTCTTTTAAATTAGGAGCAAATTGGTGTCAGGGATAACTAATTCTACGGTGGAAATGGAAAGACATAGAATTAATAGTTTAGTCAGGTGAAACTGGAAACATCCCGAAACGTCCTCAGTTATTTTCTGCTCTGCCTACCACCGTTTGTTTTCTGACATTATTTACGGCAACACCTAACACAGGTGTACCAACATGACAGCAATATGTTTCGAAATCCCTTCCGAATATCCTTGTTGAATGCCACGTACAAACACGGGTTGATTGCAGATGTTGCGTGGCTGAGGAAGAGCCCAACAGACCCGATGCTAAATCCTCCTTGGGGAATTCCGCAGAGATATTCATGCACTTGAAAAAAGTAAAGAAAAAATGCAATGTGTAAAGGAAGCCAACACAATGTGAAGACCACAACCACAATAATAAGCATTTTGAGGACATTTTTCCGCGCGTCTAACTCTACGGCTCTGTTTGAGCGACAGGCCATTGGTACCGGCCGGATCCATACTTTGTAAACAACGCAAGAGTAGAAAACACAGATGATCAGCAGAGGTAAAGCGTAGAGGAACACAAACATAATTACTGTGTACACCTTTGCAGCTGTTTCCTGGTGAAACAAAGGCGACCAATCTTCGTAACAGTAGATAACTCCATTTATTTCCCTGACGCTCATGGCGTACAGAAGCGGAGATACAGAGAGGAAGGACGCCAACCAGATAGCAACAACCATGAACTTCGCGATCTTGATGGTCACAATCTTCCTGAGAGGAAATGTAACAAGACAAAAACGCTCGAATGCGATGGCCGTCAGTGTTAAAATGGAACAGGAGACCGTTGAATCAGAGATAAAACTTGCAGCCTTGCAGACGATAATTCCCGGTATACCGTCAAACCAGTGATACCGTCCTGTTATATGCCTGGCTAATCTTCCCGGCATGTTGCAAAAGGTCACTAGTATATCCGCGGCGGCCAAGTTTATGATCAGGCGATAAGTAATAGTATGGAGTCGATTGTTCCTTTTCACCGTGCTGATAAGCAGAGTGTTGCCCACAAGAGACACCAAGATGACCACTGTATAGCCAACGGTAAAGACCGTTTTCTCCGCCACCCCTTCCATCTCGGTTTTACACGAATCTCCGGACAAGTTTCTTGGGATATTACTGGCGACATTTCTAGTATTGTTTATTTCCATGATATCTGTGAACTGTTGATCAAAGGTGCGATCCCACTGAACCAAAAACGATTATGCCACTGATAAGCAAGCATTCGGCGGCGCGCCAACAGGATCTTACGAAAATACAGTCGAACGAAAGTTAGTCAGGTATTATCGTGCCCTTTTAGTCACCTGTTGCCCATTGAAACTCAGAGGGGATCAAAGGCATAAATATCTGTCTCTGATGGCTACCTTTCCTGGTATCATATATCGACGCATCCTACGAGTCCAGGCTAAAACACTCAGAGCTTTCTTTCTTTCCAGATAATTACAAATGTAATTAAAAGAACGGGAAAGCAGTAAAATAGGTCCAAATATCGTTAATATTTAATAGTTTTAAGTTTATTGTTTGAAAAACGCTTGTATTGGTCAAGAATGTGCCATATGGGCTGGATTTTGTGCCAATTAGCACCAAACAAGAGGTTATGGTTTTAAAAGCTTTAGTGAAATCTCTCCAGTCTGCGGTTTCTAAGTTACAAAATTATTCATTTCGCAACCAAAGTC